CACTAAAGCATGCAATATTTTCACAAATGGTTCGATACCTTTTACAATTTTCCAGTCACGATAACTTTTGTCTGCCGAATTAAACACTATCAACCTATGGCTTCTGAATTGTAACAAACCAAGCATCCAGTGAGCAACTTGTTGGTGAGCAGTAATGGCATGAACACGTAGTCAACATCAGCCCAAGGTGTGCTCAAAGGAAGGCTGTCACCCGTTACAGCATTAATAAGGCTAGACTTTGACATTAGAACATTGGGATCCTTTAGAAAAGATGGGTATATGTCTTTGACCTTATTCTAAAACTAGGAATCGGTCGTTGTGGCTCTAAGCTTCACTTTGTTGCCAAGTTTTGATACCTAACGAATGTAATAAAAGCATGCATCCATGTGTTGTTTCAATAAAAGGGGAAGAACTCAATAATGTGGAATGTAACCTGTTTATATGAACCATGTATCTGTGATCAGTGACTATGAACTATGGACTACAATTTGTCCACATTAGGTAATAACTATGTGTTGTGATCTGTATATACATTCTGTGACTAATTAACAATGAAAATGTGACCTATATGAGTAGAGTAATGTAATCATACTAAACTGGTCAAAGATGGCTCTGAATTTATAAGTTGGTAGAACCAGAACTTATGACCTACTGGGCACGAACCAATAACAAAAGCATGATTGATTCTACCATCTTCATCGTTAAACTTTTTTCTGTGACCAATGTGAAAAAGTAAGTTATTGTGTTACAAGTTATTGATATAAACTAACAAATGGATACGAAATAAACGTACTTGATTCGTGGTTTGTACCCTCTCTGGAACCAAGCCATGAATGCTGACCTACAATTTCATCAACGCGACCTTTGTAATTTTCTAAAAAAACAATATCGTCATGCTTGAATAACTTCCTTTTATAGCTACAAATGGAGACTGTAATATTTTCGCAGGCCTTGAAACTCGTTTAACTGGCAATTCAGAAGTTGGTTCAGCAGTAGGTATGTCTTGCGTAATGTTGTAAGGGGTCACAAATTACTTTATGCACATTTATTGAATTTAGCATGCAGTATATGAACTGTGGTCTACCAACAGATGAACTGTGACCTTAAGACCCAGATTGTGACATGGTTAGTAAGTATATGTGTAACCTATGACCTATGGCCATTTACTAGTACATGCATTTTGTGAATCTTGAATTTGTGACAAGGCACATCTTAGTTTAGCATCCTGCACATGCAGTGTGACCTATAACCATGTACTAGTTATGATCTGTGGCATGTGAACATCATATAAGTGTGATCTATGACAATTTACTAGTTGTGAACTACATGATGTATAAATCCTGCAGTTATAAATACCTCGGTATCAACGGTTGTAATTGTTGTGACCACATCTGATATTACAGAATCGACATGCTTCTAAATGTCTTCGAAATGTAAAATGTCAAGTTGTGTAGATCTAACCCCAAGTCAAATGATGGTGCTTCAAGAGTATACGGCAGAACAAAATCATCAGTTGGGTCCAATTTGTCCTTTTCTTTCCTGTCCACATTTGGTTCCACAGTTTTCACCTGTACACAAAATGAGAGAATGTTTTAAATGTCAACTGAAACTCTTGAACTATGTGGAAATGTAATGTAACTACCTCCTCGGTCTTATCAGATCCTCCAACAACTGGAGGATCTTTATCTCCAACTCCATGATCACTTTTTTGATGACCAAACCGTTTCATAGTCTCATCCATGGAACTGGAAATCATTGTTGATACCGTTTCTAACAAAAATTGCATATTTGTGTTAATCTCCATCAAGTCACTTTTTTATGTTAGATTGCATTTGAACTATGTAATTCATCTTCGTCATTTTTTTAGCATTCACTGATGACATCTGAGACTTAATGTCATCAAACTCCACATTCAATACTTCATTATAGGACTTCAGTTCAGATATTTGTGACCTCAACCCCTTAATCTTCTGATAAAATAAATAAACTATTTATATATGACTTGTGACCAAATAGAACCATATATTGTACACTGTCAAAATGAATCTGTCACATGTGACCCGATATAAACCACATGTGACTTGAAACTAGTGGTCTATTACCAACAACATAATTGTTTGACAACTGAATAAAATAACAACTTACATCACTCCATTGTGCCTCACGAGCCTGTTGTTCTTTTGGAGAATGATGAGCAGCTGACGGACATTCTTGGGTTGGAGATTTTCCAAGGGGAGATGTCTCCTGCCATATTGGAGGAGGATCAACAAAATCATCATCGTCGTTGTCGAAAACACGAGCCCGTCGAACACTGCTGTCTGTTAGCAGGAGCACTAATGGACCTGACTTCCCACTCGTACCAGCACGGTCAACTGACCTTTCTATCCTACTCTTATCTCTGCGGCTGTCTGGTGAGAACTTTGGTTGAACTGACTTCTTGTACTAGACACCATTCATGTATGGCATGGCCATTTCAGTTTCTGAGGGTTCCAGGTCACAAATCTCAATCTGCAGAGCAATATAGATTAGAGAAATGCAATGTCAATAGATAATTACTAAGTACATAATGCTTACTAAAACTTTACATTAGGATTAGAGAAGCAGTCGGTCCTTCCAACTTGGCAGCCGATGGTTGCTCGTCTGCAATCCAGTTCTTGATGCGAGGATGTAGCCTTGATATTCGTGTGACCACAACTCCATCAAGCTAGGAAAAGTTTCATATATCCAGGCTTGAAAGGCTATCAACATACCTCATAGCCTGTAGTGTGAGTTTCTCCTACTCAACCCATCTTTCAATACACTCAACATAATTTCAAATAATAACTTGCCCCACAGAAACTGATTTATTGCAGAGAAATCCTTAACAAGTACAAATAGGAAGTGGTCAACAACCTTCTTATAATCTCTTAGAAATAGATATGTCGTAATGAAGTACAGCATCCCAATCATAGCAACATCATTGTCTGGAAGAGCTTCAACAAGATCCAAGTCCGGCATTTGGCAAGCAAATATGAAAGTGGACTTTACATCTTCCTGGGTTACACTATGCACTTGAGAAAAATATTTTGCCTTTAACTGTTACTGTCTTCTTTCAAATACTTGTGTATCACTGTCCCCAGAATACCTCAGCCCCGTGACTAAGCAAAACTCTGAGATAGAGAACCGGACTTATCGTCCCGACACATAAAATCACATTTCTTGGTCATTCGGGTGATGAACTTGTCGCAGAAGAAAGTAGTGAATCAATTGCGGCTGTATAACAATTTAATGGCAATCCAAGAAATGAGCAAAACATGTGTCCATCAATACAAGTTTCTGTTGTTGGCTTAACGATATCTGAATGGTGGTTAAAACACCCTTACTGATTGAGGTTGTAATCTTGCATGGAAACCAGCTCTCTTATGGTATTTTGAATTCCCAAACCAGCATTAAGTGTGGACACAGTGTTAAATGCTTGTATGAAAAATCACACTGATATACACGTTTTAACAAGGTCACAGATATAAATAAAGTCTCACTAAAACTACATAATTATGAAACTTTGGTGGAATTGTAGTCATATTATACAGATTCATGACACATACAAAAGATATCATGGTCACACATTTGTAACACAGTCACACATCAAATTCACAACATAGGCATTATGAAAGCAAAACCCCCAACCCATTCCAATAAGCTCAAAGGCATAACATACTTTTTAACAGTTTATGCAATCAAGCCACAAATTCATAACACATTTCCACATCATGGTCACAGATTCACAACAAAATGGATTGGGAATACATTTCAAAGCACAAATTTATAACACATTACAAAAGCAAAACCCCCCATTCCAGTCAGGTCACAGGCAGGACACACTGCTAGGCAGTAAGCCACAGATTCATAACAACATTCACACGTCACATTCTAGTCAGGTCACAGGCAGGAAACACTGCTAGGGAGTAAGCCACAGATTCATAACAACATTGGTCACATTCGCACATCACATTCTAGTCAGGTCACAAGCAAGACACACTGCTAGGGAGTAAGCAACAGATTCATAACAACATTGGTCACATTTGCACATCATGGTCACATGTATCCTCTTCATGGTTAAAATACAAATTATCCATGAAGTTAAAAATGAAGAATCAAGTGGAAATTACAAACAAGATTCAATCACGTATAGAATCGAATAGGGTAATATTCACATTTCTCCAATTTATCATACATACTACACGACCATTTTTGTACACATATATATCACTTAGATTTAAGAAAAAATGGGGGACGAAATAACCTTTTTCGATAACCCTTTACGCACGGTCACTGCATGCTTTTTCAATGGGGTTTTTTCCGGGCTCTCCTCATCCTTCCTCTTACGACTTCTTTGTGACGAGCCTTCGACATTAATCGCCCTTTCTGCCCCCTTCGATTTCACCATTTTTACGTCGCCAATAGAAGCTCCAGTTGCGTGAATACGTTTTACCAGAGACTAGAATGAGTTATATAATGAATATAACGATTTTAGTAATACAAAGACTAAAGGAAAATGTAGTAAAAATAGCCGAAAATGTAATAAAAATGGCCGGAGTGGGAATGAAGTAATCGGAGAAAGTGGGTGCAGTGGAGGAAGAATGAGAGAGAAAACAGTTTCGAAAATATTGGAAGTTTGAATTCAGATATATAACAGAACACGCTATAATTAAAATAATTATTATTTTATTATTAATACTAAATATTAAAATAATACTTGAAATATGCTTAAAAAAACTCCCTGACTGAAGTTTGCATTGTATACTTCAAAACCCTATTCCCATGTAATTTCCACTTCAAAAAATTATTTTTGAAATGATTGATTTAGATGTTATTAACACATAATTTGATAAATCATGCTATGGGTATAGCATTTTTCGCAGCAAGCACACATACAAGAGATGAGGTCCACGATTAACATAATTTTGAGCCCCTCATTTGCGAGGAAGCTGTGAAAAAAGTTGCGAGGAAAATGCTGTAGAATCAGCAATTTATACAACTGTATAAATTCCACAACTGTTTCTGCCTACCTATCAATATTTTCCAAATAATGTAGGCACCACCACTCACACAGGAAGTAGTATATATTTGCACTTGCTTCCTCGTTTGCACAACCCACATGCAATAAAAATAAATTAGCAAAGAATCCAAGCCTTTTGTTGTATTTTTAGTACTGTTTCACTCTCCTAGAAATTAACTCCATCAAATTCTTAGATCCGTCGTAATTCATGGCGGAGTGCATATTAGAGCAGCTCAAATCCCAGCCCACATGGCTGCTTCCGCTTCTAACACTCGGTGTTTTATCACTTTTCAAATGTTTATTCTCCATTCTGAAATGGGTCTACGTGAATTTCCTCCGGCCCGGGAAGAATCTCAAGAAATACGGATCTTGGGCTCTGGTCACTGGCCCTACTGACGGAATAGGCAAAGCCTTTGCTTTTCAGTTGGCCCGGAAAGGGCTGAACCTGATTCTTGTGGGTCGGAACCCGGATAAGCTCCGGGAAGTTTCGGACTCGATCAAGTCCAAACACGGGTCAACACAAATCAAGACAGTGGTGGTTGATTTTTCGGGTGATTTGAATGATGGTGTAGGAAGAATTAAAGAGACAATTGAAGGACTGGATGTTGGGGTTTTGATTAATAATGCTGGGATTTCTTATCCTTATGCGAGGTTTTTCCATGAGGTGGATGAAAATTTGTTGAATGATTTGATTAAGGTTAATGTTGAGGGTACTACAAAGGTTACTCATGCTGTTTTACCTGGGATGTTGAATAGGAAAAAGGGGGCTATTGTTAATATAGGGTCAGGTGCTGCCACTGTTATACCTTCTGATCCTCTTTATGATGTTTATGCTGCCTCCAAAGCGTGAGTATTATTATTATTATTTTTTTTTTTTTTGTGTAAATCCTTTCTCCTTTTTTCTTTTTCTTGTATTATTTTTTGGTGCATTTGTTTTTTTATCTTTATAGATTGGATCTTAAGAGGATAGAGTAAATGAATAAACACCTAAAAGATACGGCCTTTTAGCTTTTCGTGGGATTGGAAACTCTGTATACATGCTTAAATCATGTTTGGAAGTGTTTATAAATGGTTTTGTTTATAAATAGATACAAATGAGTTGTGTATAGGTGAATAGTACCTGTGAGTCCCTCAAATTGCTAAATAAAAAATAGTTTGAATGTTTACAAACATGAGCTAAACATAGACTTAGTTGTTTGTATAGACGCTTTTCGGATCCAAGTTTTTAGTTGGTATGGCGGTAAACTAAAAGTGTGTAAGAGAAATTGGAACCAATATTGTGCGTTCTAATTCAAAAAGAGTATACTTTGATCCGTTTTTAAAACAAGTGTTGGGCGCTTAATGATTTATTTAAGCTCCACAAGTTGGGTACAAGGTACTTTTGATTGAGTTAGAGTTGATAACTATCATGATTGACCAGCTTTATGTATGTACTTATTATGGATTTAAGGTACTCTATCTTGTTTCTTAGCACGAGATTCAGCAATTTATTTTTGTGAGATAATTATGGCTGTGCTCATGGGAGAATAGCATTGGTCTACTATGTTCTGAATAGCACTATATGTGATTGGTTGATTTATTTTCAGATATATTGATCAGTTCTCGAGATGTCTCTATGTGGAGTACAAGAAAAACGGGATTGATGTGCAGTGTCAGGTATCACTCTTAAACCAGAATCAGATGTCTTTCTGTGTGTAAAGTGTAATAGAGTTTCATCAGTGCTCTGTTATCTGTTGGATGCATATATTTTGGATGCCCATGTTGTGGAATAGGGATGTCTTCATTGCATTAACTTTACTCGGCCACGTTCTCGTTATGGATTAAATCCAAACACAACCCAAGACACGATAAGGAACAAACTAGAACAGAAAAAAACTCACATTGTTACATAGACATATAACGCGGTTCAATTTCCAGTCGAGGGGAAAAGAACTGAATGATTAGGCTCCACACTATTCAGCATTCTTTGGTGATTATTTTGTTTCATTTAGCCAGAAGGGCTGAAGAATCTTAAATCTGAAGAAACAGATGAAGCTGTGAGTTATGAATACATCCAATTAAACTTCTTTTTTCTTTTTCCAGTTTTTCTCCCTGAAAAATTATCTTGTAGTCTTTTGTCATCTAATGATGGACATGGACTGTTAAGAAACTTTGGCTCGGACCAACCAATTGTTATTTTAATTAAATACATATTTGTGAAATTTTCCTCATGTTGTAGCAATAATATCTCAATTCAGAAAACCAGAAAGAAGGAAAAGAGAATGGATTAAGTCTTGTGAATTCGTGTAAGCTGAATACCTGAAGCTAAAAACAGCAATTCAGAACATGAGAATGGCTCCTTCAAAAATCATAAATAGAAAAGTAGTGGAAATTGATTTTCAGTTTATTTGTTGGGCGAATAGTGAGCTGCTGGAGAGTCATATAACTGTCTTGACGTACTCCTACTTGTGGGGTGGGGGTGGTGTTTTTTCTGTAGACAAAGACAGAGAGGGGTGTCAAAAAAAGTACAATCTCCTTCATTATGTATATTGAAAAATGTGTACCTGCTAGTGGACGTAGCACTCAGTGAGGGGGAACGACTGTAGCGCGGTTACTTTGTGTAAACAAGACAGAGATGTGTGTCAAAAAATAGTATAATCTCTTTCAGTATATATAGTGAAAAATCTGAACCGACTAGTGCACATAGCACTCACAGTAAAGGGGAACCACTGTAGCGCGGTCTGTGTGTGTTTCCGATTTCAACTAAATTATTATTTCCTTCGGAGTTAGGGATTAAGGTTTCGTCAATAACATATTTTACAATAGACTTCATGTCCAGCCTTCTGCCTAGAAAATCAAAATATAGATTTTAGTTTGAACCCTGTAATTTAGATTAAAGATAATTGAATTTTATGTGGAAAAACACTGCAAACTATTTTTTTGGAAAGGAAAAACACAGGAATCTTGATGTAGTACTATTCTTGCTGCTTTTTCTCTTCTTTATTCCTGAGCTGCTCCATCCTTACAACTATTACTGGAAAACTTCTCTTTTATTCTTCAGTTTTTTATTATTTTCTAAATTCAGGTTCCCTTGTATGTGGCAACAAAAATGGCATCCATCAAACGTTCATCCTTCTTCGTACCATCTACAGATGGTTATGCTCGGGCTGCTCTTCGTTGGATAGGCTATGAACCGCGCTGCACGCCGTACTGGGCCCACTCTCTTCTCTGGGGTTTGCTGTATTCCTTGCCAGAGTCAATTGTCGATGCTTGGCGTCTGAAGTTCTGCCTTGGAATTAGGAAGAGAGGACAACTCAAGGACTCGAGGAAGAAGGAATAGAAGCTTTGTTATAATCTCTCTGTGTGTGTGACCTTCTGCAAGGATTTATTCATTCGAGGATGATGCCTGAGACATGGGAAATTCGAGGAATTGAATTCGAAACTGGAAAAAGTTTTATCATTTTACTGATTTAATGTACTTGTCTTGTTACGAAATCATATATGAGTTGGGGGGCAAAAATTGCATTTTTCTTTTAAACTTGTTTAAGCATGCGAGTTTTCCTTTTGTTGTACGTCCTCGAGGCAATTGAGGATTATTTGATTTGGGGAAAAAATGAAAATCCAGGCCTGGGCCTGGCTCCAACCGGAACATAATATGGTCATTGACATTGGCCATAGACTAGCATGGACTGGACCTGTCTGGATTACATGCCGTCCTGGTTAGCAGGCTGACTCTAGCATGCTGCAAGTGGGCAATTTTGTTCAGGTTATACTCCTGATGCCCTTTCAGGAGAGGTGGACTGGCGGAATCTGCATAATCTAGGCAAAGCGTTGGAAATCTTCTCTTCATCTGAGCAGGGTGCAATCGGTGTGCAATATTGCCCCTGTTGTTTTTGAAGTCACTGCTGGTCACTAGGAGGACCAGACATTGGCTTTTATATACTTTTGGAGTATTGAGATGAATATTCACCCGTTGTTTGTGAGTCTTGACTACACCTATCTTATGCCCTGACTCACCTTTTGTGGCCAAAAACTTGTGTTCTCAGAGCTTTCTGAAGCAGCCATTCTGAGTATGGGATGTTGAACGAGACTCGAAACACTAGTTAAATAAAATTTATGAATTCCTCTAATGTAAGGCTGAAAATCGATCTAGAACAATTATGTAGAAACTATTTGGATCGAAAAATCCATGGATTGGGTATTATTTCCGGCCGTTGACGATATTTCACAAGCTTTTCTTTCCTCCAAGTTAGGCAATTCTAAGCTTTTCTAATACCTCTAAAATGATGGTGTATGATAAGTATTTGGAGGGCTCGAGCTCAAGGACCAAACCTGTAATGCCACGCTCTTATACATAGTGAATATCATGCCTTCTAGATTAATTGTATTAATGCTACAGTTACAATTTAATTATGATAATTATATTTGTCGTGATTAATTGTTTTAGAATGGAATGTGCCTTGAACGCTATAGACATTTGATGTGCCTATCAATTTAAATTAAATAGTTATGAACCAAGCAATGAAGTAGATTATAGACATAGTTAATTTATTTTATGTTTTCATCTAATTAAATTTTATTTAATTTAATTGACTAGATGAGTAGAAACCAATTAAATTAAGTTAAATGATGGGAATTTAGCCCTAATTGGAAGAAACACTTCCCGTAATTTATGCTTTAAAATAAAAATTGGAGATTTTATTAATGCACTATTTCTATGTTATGATTTAATTAGTTGTCATTTCCTTTTTTCACTTAGAACTAACCTAAAGCATTTACTTTCATATATGCCAATTTATTAATTTAATCGATAAATTTACAGTAAACTGATAATTTAAAATATTTATGGAAACCAAACTCCTTCCTCAGCAAATAGTGAGGTTAGTTTCTCCGAATTGTTTTATAGGTCTTGATGCTTATATAATTCGTATTCATAGTAATTGGAATATTTATTTTAGCAGTTCATATTCTACTTCAATTCGATTTGAATAAAAAAATAATAACAATAATAAATTATTTTAAGCTATTAAATGTTTGGTCATACAACCTGCTCATAGCAAGGGACATCTTTCATATGTTTTCATTATTTCAATTATTTCTATGTAAGATCAATCTTGATCCGAATAAAGGATTCAATATTTTTTGCTAGTTTTAAGCTTGTGTTACTCAAACTAATAGTCCCATTACCATTAGTAAATCAGAACTAAGAGCATGTTTGGGAGTAATTTTGAGAATTGATTTTTTGACCATTAGGAGAAAAGTGGGGTCCACCTGTGAGAGAAGAAGTCAAATATGACGACTGGAATAGTGAAATAACGGTCAAAAAATCAATTTTTTGGGTGAAAAAATCAGGCCTAAACAGGCTCTAAGGGTAAAGATGAAGTTTTCTTCCAAAGTGATTAATTATTTGTTCCTGAAAGATTTCATGACTTTAGTCGGTCATATATGTGATGAGGTAAGTTTAACATTAATTATTTAAGTTACTTTTATCTTAGGTTGATGTCTTCTACTAATATTGTCCCCTTCACAATTAATTAATATATCCTGAAGTATCGATGAATATACGTAATTGACTTGGTTAGCCGGTCCATCCTTTAATTGTTCATTGTCGAGTATTAATAATGGGTTATGAATTTTATTTACTTGTTAAGGTTAACTGGTTGCAAATGTCCATTTATAAATGAGTTATATAATAGTATTCAAGATGGGAATATATAAGTGTGGTCATTTGACATAACAATAATAAATAATGACTATGTATAAGTGCTTTTAATCAATGGCAATGAACTAGGACTTTTGGCACGATGTTAACTTCAGGGCTGTATGGACATCTCCAATTTGCAATTCTAAGAGTAAACTTTTAAGGATTCCAGGTAAGTAAACATACCCTTGCCGTCATGGCAAGTGATATTATTAAATGTATGAATGTATTACATAAATTTGCTGTTATGTAAATATGATGTTTAATTATTATGTTTTATGTCATGAATGTTTCTTGCCTACTCATGCACGTCAATGCATCCATAATGATACATGAAGTTCCAATGAATAAAATGTTTCCAAATGTCATGACTCAATGAATGTTTAAAATACGTATCTTGAATGTTTTTGTTACGAGATGTGTGTCTATGCCATGAAGATGTGAGTGGAAAATGGGGCATGGGAGACCAGCACACACTACCAATGTTCAACGATGAATGTTCAATATTAATATTAATGTTAACTTCTTTGTAGAACTACAGGTAGAATTCGATCGGATTCCAAATATCATGGCCCAATGCATTCTGATTGGCTATAGGCAATACACCAAGTGAGCTCAAAATGTTAATGTTTTTAAAGAAATGAAAGAATGGTGATACATATTGAGAAATTCCTTTCATTTTAAAGTAAAGCATATGCATATCATCAGCATGCATCATGTGCATGAAGTTTGCTCACTGAGCATTAGCTCATCTCACGTTATCCCTCCCCATTTTTAGACGATGAAGGCATGCTGATTCAAGATGACGGCTTGTGGTGTCACGGAGTCGGTACCAATATAGTTTAGATTTGATTTCGCTTTGAAATAAACTTAAGTTTTAATTTAATTGTCTTATATTTTATTAAGTACAAATATTTTTTTTTATATAAATAAAGTCATTGAAGGTTATTAAGTTGAAGAAAAATTTAATCGTTTCCGTATTTATGATTTTAAGAGAATGTTAAATGATAATACCTCCAAAATTAGGTATTTGATTTTCGAGGGTGTTACAAAATCCCTTTATGTATAGCCAACCTCCCATCAAGCCATGGCTATCATTACCTTCCAATCAATGGTGAAATTAAAACGCCATGAATTTTGAATTGAAGTTCTATAAGTGTTGAAACTAAAGTCGTGAATGTTAGACCACTAATTGACCCATTGAAGAAATGGACCTATTACATTCTCCCACTTGCTCCATATGTTCAAACTATTGTTTCAACTTAATCCCATCGATTGTCCTTCTTTAGAAACAAACACATGAATTGTAGTGGTGAGTCCTCTAATAACACGTATTACCTTCCACGTATTACATGTACTTAGTTCCTCAAGAATTATTCTTTATCCAGTAAAAATACTTTTTGAAAAAATTCTCCCATTGATTCCTATGAAAATAGGAAACTTGTATTTCTCATTCACAAATTCATCTTTGTTTTTGCTACTAACTCTCAATTTGGTCCAACTATGTCTTATTCTTAGTCCTACATAGATGTATTTTCTCAAATAAATTAAGATGCACATGAATATGATAAACACCTTTTATACAAAATTTGTATATACTATTACATAGCGGAACTAAGTCCTATTTTCTCTACACGATGCTTGAATTTCAATAGTAGCATGTCTTTAGTCAAATGATCAGCGATCATCAATTTAGTGCTTATGTATTCAATGACCACTTTCTTTTCTTTAATGTATTCCCTTGTGGCTAAATACTTAATGATGATGTGTTTACTTTGACTACAACTTTTGTTGTTCTTGACTATGAAGATAGCAACTGAATATCATAGTAAATTCTCAATAGCCTAGAAATGGAATCCGTAAGTCTAGATGTGAAATTCTTGATCCATACACCATGTGAAGTAGCCTAAAAATAAGAAACGAATTCGGCTTCCATAGCAAAAGTAGCAGCCAAGTTCTACTTGGCACTCCTTCATGATATAGCTCTACCAACTATCATAAAAACTTACCCTAGTGTTAATTTGTGTGAATCAACACAGCTAGTGAAGTTTGAATTCGAGTATCAAGTAACTTCAAGATTATCCACCCATTTATATATAAACATGTAATTTTTGGTTCCTTTAAGGTATCTCATCAGTTTCTTTATAGCTCTCTAATGATCCATATCTGGATCACTTTGATATTGTTTTAACATTCTTCTAACAAATGTAATGTTAGGCTTTGTTCAGACCTGAGTATATCAAGCTTTTGACAACCGAAGGATATGGAATGCTCTTCATTTGTTCCCTTTCAAGATCATTTTTTAGGCATTGGTTCAAATTGAATCTATCACATTTTACAATGGGAGCTACACTTGATGAACAATTCTTCATCCAAAGTCTCTCTAAAATTTTATTGATATAAGCTTCCTAAGACAAACCCAAGATCCCTCATAATCTGTCTCTATGAATTTTAATGCCAATGACATAAGACGCTTCACCTATATTCTTTATATCGAAATGTTTAGAAGAATTGTTTCACCTCATCCAGCAAACCCTTATCATTGGTTGTAAGCAAATTGTCATCTAAATATAAAACAAGAAAACAAATTTCACTCTTATTGACCTCTTGATATATACATTAATCCTTGAGATTTTCAACAAATTCGAATGAAGAACCATGAAATTTAAAATACCATTGATGGGACGCTTATGTTCTGCTGTATATAAATTTGTTAAGCTTACAAACCAAGTGCTCACCTTCATTAAAAGTGAATCCTTTATGTTATTTCATATAAACCTTCTCCTCTAAATCTCCACTAAGAAATATTGTTTTCACATCCATTTATTGTAGCTCAAGATCAAAAGGACTAATAATGCCAAAATAATACATAGGAAATCTTTCTTAGATATCGAAGATAAGATCTTCGTGTAATCGATTTTCTCCTTTTGAGTGAATCCTAGCAACAAGTCTTGTCTCATATCTCTTAATGTTGTCTAACGAGTCTTTCTTTGTCTCAAAGACCCATTTACATCCCATAGCTTTTACATCACTAGGCAACTCAATGAAAACCCAAACTCCATTACTTTTCGTGGAACTCATCTTTTCATTCATTCTGACACTTTGCAACTCATGGCATTTGAAAATGACTCAATATCATTTTTTGCTCCACTACTGTAGTCAGATTCTTGTAGGTACTTTTCATAGTCATTAGGAATTCGGATTCCAAATTAAACGTTTCAATCTACAAGGATTAGGAAGACTGGAGTTACTAAGCATACTTCGCACCATGTATAATAATGTTTAATTTCTTTTTCTTTTTCTTTTTTTTTTTGCCATACCATTCCGATTAGGTGAAATAGGCACAGTATATTGGGCAACTATCCCATACTCTTGAAGAAACCTAGCAAACGTACAAGGTGCTTGTCCATCCTCAGTGTATCTACCATACTATTTTCTATCTTTATCTGATCTCACAATCTCAATCTACTTCTCTACTTCAGGCTTAAAAGTTTTTAAAGATATATGATGCTTTGTTCTTGTTATGAGGCAATTAAAGAAACATATATCGTGAATAATCATTAATAAAGGTGATGAAATATTTTTTACCATGAGAGTCCATATCTGGACTACATATATCACTATGTATTATGTCAGAACTCTGTTGGCACCTTTCTTGTTGGTCATTTTCTCTTAATGCACTCCACACATATCTCAAAATTAGTAAAAATACAAAGTACTAAGTGTCCTATCATTTACTAATCTTTTAATTCTTTCTATAAATATATGTCATAATCTCTGGTGTCACAACATCGATTATATCTTTTAGTGCCAGTATGAACATGCATTGAACTATATAAGTGATATTGTTTTGTAAATTAATACAATAAAGATCATCAAACAAAATATCATTCCCAACACAATCAGAATTTATAATAAACTAAATGACTTGTTTGAAAAATTAAAGGAATATCCCAATGGTTCAAGTTTGGAAATAGAAATCAAGTTTTGAGAAAACTTGGAACATAAAAGGTCCTATCTAATTTCAAAACAAAGCCACTACTTAAAGTTAAAATGCATGTTCTTATAGCCTCCACATGTGAACACATCTTGTTTCCCAAAAAGATATGTTGTTCACTTCCTACTGACTTCCATAGATTTTACGTACCCTATAAGGAGTTTGCAATATGGATTTTAGATCCATAGTCAATTAATCAGGTGTTAATATTTACATTAACCATATTATATTCATAACAAATAAACGAAATTGGATTATCTTTATCCTCAAGTCATTTCTTGAATTTAGCGTAATCTTTCTTCACACATTCCTTCTTTTTATAGAAACAACACTTGGTCTCTTTCATCATATTAGTTTGGGGGAGATATTTCACCTTTCTCTTCTCTGATTGACTTGAGCTTTCCTTTTCCAACGAATTGTAGTTACATTATACTTTCACCTTGTTCCATCGCTAGCTTCACTTCTTCACTGAACATACAGTCATTAATTTATTGATTGACCATTTATCCTTATGTGTGTTGTACGAGATTTGAAAGATCAGTATTGTTGTGGGAGAGTATTCATAATATAGTGCACAAGGAAGGATTCTAACATCTCAAGCTCGAGTTTCTTAAGTTGAACCGTAATATTCCTCATTTATATGTTGTGCTCGCTCACACCTTTCACACCGGTGAACCTTAACGGATTAGAACTTCATTATAAGGGTGCTTGCTAATGCCTTATCTAAAGTGACGAATTGATTATCAATGGCCTTTTGCACGTTTTGGACTTTTATATGCTGATTGATAGAACCACTTATAGCAGCAAAATGAACATCATTCTAAGGCGATTAGATGGCTCACATTTTTTATAAAGCCCGTGTTTGCTGTAGTGCCGGTGTTGATGAGTTCAGGTGATTCGTCTTTTCTATTGCATAGTAAATATCCATCCACCCTAAATGGAGAAGAAATCTTTCATTCCCTACTTTATAGTTGCTCCCTTTAATTTGGAGATATCACTACGAATATCAGGAAAATTAGTAAGCTGTGAAGCTGAATAATATTAAAAATGCTTGTCAAAACTGAGACTTAATTGAATAGATTGTATGTTTTACCAATGTAAATCATACTAAAATTGAATATAATGAATAAAAACTGCATGTTGGCTAAATTTTTAATTCAAGCATATTCAATTATTCCGTATGGTAGAGTCATCAAATTATGCATTTGATTCATATTTGGGAACATTATGAAAATAATTGGATATTCTCTCATAAAGCATACGTTATAATAAAACTATCAAATTATGTACTTATTCATAATTCCTGTGGACATATTAAGAAATATTTTGATATTTTATTATAATTAATTATATAAATATTGCAAAAGTTCCTGTTTGATAAAATTTATTATATTAAGTTTAATTAATTACAATTTAATGTCTTTACTCTTTATGTGATCCTAAAGTTAATATATAATTTTATTTAATTGAAGATGTTGTGGCTAATCCCAAATTAAATAAAACTATATATACCGGTAGACATTATCTCTATTATGCATAACACTATATGAGAACAATTTTAATGCAAAATTTTAACTAACATGTTATGATTATGCACAAAATATTCTTATAAACATTATATATTACATAAAATTTAACTTATCTAAAATTGCATGCTATAGTTTAAAGCATAATTAACTCATGTAAATTGAATACGAGCATAATTAGTAACTTTTTATTATGTAATTCATCCTAAAATTACATATATTATTCTAAACATAAATAATTAACGTACACAAAAATTTAAGTAAAATAGGCATAAAAGCTTTAAAAAAAAAAAAAAAAAAAAAAAAAACCACTACAAAATTGGCCCAAAACGCAACTAAACATAATCTTCCGAAAATTGGCTCAATTTGCATTTGGATGTCATTTCTAAATGCCCAATAATTATGATCCAATAAATAATTGCTTGTCATTCTAAATGGACCAATAAACAAAGAGCAAATTAGGTCCAATACCCTAAAAAATTAACTTAATTGATTAATACCATGTTAATCAATTAAATCATTTCATAACGTAATTAATACGGTATAAAACTTCTCAAAACTCAAAACCCTTAAACAGATGCATACACAGAAACCCCAAACAAAAATCCCATCACTGATCTTTCTGCAGCAGTATTGTTTCCATCTCTTATTAAGCTATCTCCTTCAGCTCTTTCAGTTTACCTGTGTTAACATTTCTTTTGTCATCCCACAGTCACGTGTTTCCTCCAAAGTCAACCCCTTCCAGATGGAGTTCCGTTCTCCTATTCTCAATTTCTGAAAAAGCATCTTCTTTTGTTCTCCCGACGTGGGGCTACGAATCAACAAGAGGATTGAATGGTGGGTCATCTGATGATTTGTCAATTCCTCCATTCTCTGAGCTCATGACGACTCAGAAAGAAAGATGGTCTTTCGATGGTGAAAACTTTGGCTTTAGTTGGGACAAAATAACAAGATTTGTTGGACGAAATTTAGGGTCTCCTTTTAATCTCCAAAGTTGTATTTGTGCAAAGCTTTTAACTAAGAGATCCTCGTTGGGCATCCAGAAAGTAATAACTACCAATGAACTTGGTGTGGTTGCTGTTTTAACTTGTGGACATGCTTACCATGCTGAATGCTTGGAATACTGACACATGAGATGAAAAAATACGACCCGACTTGCTCTGTCTATACTTCTGGGGAGAAACGGACCATGAAGATGATTGAAAAGGCAATCAAAGCTGAATTGGATTCAAAGGCCAGAAAGCGATCTAGGAACGGTGTTGTTGACAGTGATGATCTCATTTTGTTCGATCATCATAAATGTAGTTAGAATGAAGGAAGCGGTCCCAAAATGAGATTCTTCCATAGGTTGATCATTATCTAAAACTTTCCTATACTTTTCTCTACAGATTCTTCCACGGTTTCATCTTTCTCTGTTGCCATGTTTTGAGGGTTAACATGAAGGAAGATATAGGAAATGGTTATCTTCGTAGATGATGGATAAAATAGTTGTTGAAGACATTGTAAAAAATTGGGAATTATACAAGTTTTTTTAATATGTGTAACTTTTCTTGAATTTTTGTCACTTTTTTTTAGTGTTTATCACTTTTTTTAGTCACATTATTAATTTCTATCATTATTTTAGTGACAAACATCACTTTTAAATGAAAGTGACATTATATGTCATTTTTTAATAAAAAAAGTGACATTTAACATATGATTTCTATGCCCCTTACCTTTTTGAATCTATGTAAAAAAATTTTAATTTATGTGACTTTTTTAAATTCGTCACTTTTCTTAAGCTTCTATCACTTTTTTGAGTAATTCTCACCTTTTTAAAATTGTCACTTTTTTTAGTGTTTATCACTTTTTTTCAATCGTCTTTTTGAAATTTCTGTAACTTTTTTGGTGACAAACATCACTACTTCTTTTTTTTTCTTTTTTTTTTTAATATATAAAAGTGACATTATATGTAATTTTTTAATAAAAGTCATACTAAACTTTTAAAAGTGACATTGTCACTTTAAAAAAAAAAAAAAAAAGGCGATACAATTTTTATAAAAAAAAAATGTGACATTGTGTCACTTTTTAATTTTACATAGTATTTTTCTACTTCCAAAAAACTTTTCATATGATTTTACAAAACTCTCCTAATTTTAAGGGTATTTTTGAAAGTAGCCCATAAACAAACATGTCTATCATTTTCAAATGGCCCAATAATGAAAACTACTTTTCATATGCCAAAATTGTAAGGAAAACGTTCATTTTGAAAATAACAGACCGATTTGGATTGAGAAAATCAAAAAATTCATTGATCGGGTACATACCTCCGACCATTGGTGATATTGTACAAGCTTTTGTTTGCTCCAGGTTGGGCACTTTTAAACCCTCTAACACTCCTAAAATGATGGTGCATTATAAGAATTTGCAATGGTCGAGTTTAGGGACCAAATCCTTTTATATATAGCCGAACTCCCATTAAGCTATGGCTACCATTACCTTCCAATCGATGGTAAAATTAAAACTCCATGAATGCTAAATTGAAATTCTATAAATGTAAAACGTGTGCCTTTGTAATT